TCCCTTTGTACAAGGATTAATGGTGGGGCCCACCCCAAAACCCCAAAACCCCAGAATATCTATTTTCTTTCAAATCGAAGAAAGTTTTATTATTTACAATTAAATCTACACATAAACTTTTCTATATCTGGAATAGTTCCATTTCTCTTAGATCAATATACTTCTTCATAGGTTTCTTGTATTATAACTATGACATATCTTGCACTTAGCACCTAATACATGATAAGGTACCTCGCCTCTTTCATTGCAGTCGTTACACAGGATCTTGACAGTTCTATTCCTGTATTCGATTGGCATGGGAGTATTCTCAATTTCTTCATCGAGCTGTCTATCATAAACCCACATATCACAGAAACTCTTAAAGCACAATGGGCATTAGTACTTATGCTTTGATAGCTCTTTGAAGCAGTTTTTATGAAGAGTGTGCCCACACTGCAAATACAGTGACTGCTCAACAGAGTAAAATTAGTCCTACTAGCAAATTGGGCATTTCTGCTCAATAGCATTTTCAATGCATTTATGACTACTCCACACTGCATTAGATATGCAGCAGCCGCACTATTTGCAGTGAAAGAAGTTCTCTCTGCCTCCTTGTCTGCACACACCGCAGTCTTAGCAATGGAATTAAAGCTTAGATACATCATTGTCAAATAAATTGCAAGTTAAGCAGCAATATTATCCGAATTTCAACCCACAGCTATTACAAAACGTACTCGGCTAAAAGAACGTTTATGACTCACATTTATCTTTAGAATATCTTACCTCTTAAACATTAGAGCAACTTATGCATTTAACCTTTTTCACATTAAATCTATCAATCTCGTGCTGCTTAAGTCTATCCCTCTCCAAATCAAATTTTGCCTCATTATGACAGAATCTGCAAGTAAAGAATTCGAAACATTTATCGCATTGAATTTAACACCCAGTCTTATAATGAGTACATCCAAGATTTTTAGTGTCTACACCCTTAAGAACCCTTTTATTTTTCTCTGAATCTTCTACTATCACAAAATAAATAAAAAAATTAGAGAAGAATATTGCGTACATTAGCCAAAGTGTTGCATTGATACTTCTTATTCAAATTTAATAATTATCGAGTATTTTTTCGAAATATTACAAATCAACTGTGAAATTCGAAAGAAGGGGTTTTGGGGTTTTGGGGTTTTGGGG